GTGAGTGAGTGAGTGCGCGAGTTGGGTCAAAACTTGGAGCCCGATCAGTCCACCATTTGCCGCGAACGACCGGTCCACAAGGTAGGTCGTGCCCGGTCCGGTATCCTAGTGCCATGACGAAAAGGCGTAGAAAGAGGATAATTCCTCCGGGTTTAAAACTTTAGGTACTATAGGTCTTCCACAGGTATCTGTCTGCATCAAAGCTGCTGGTTTAATTCGTTCCTGGCTAGCCTGGCAGAACCTGGTTTGGAAGGAATTACACAGGGAGTTAATTCTTCCTTAAGGCAACACAGGAAACAAACAAAGGCTAGCCTGGCAGAACCTGGTTTGGGATGAATTAAGCAGGTAGATAATTCTTCCTTGAGGCAACAAAAGAAAGAAACAAAGGCTAGCTCTCCTTACGGCAACAAAGGAAAAACAAAGGTTAGCCATCCTTAAGGCAACAAAGGAAACAATCAAAGGCTGGCCTGGCAGAACCTGGTTTGGAAGGAATTAGACAGGGAAAGACGCAAAGGCTAGCCCTCCTCAAGGCAACAAAGGAAAGAAGCAATGGCTAGCCCTCCGAAAGAAACAAGGGCTAGCCTTCCTTAAGGCAACAAAGGAAACAAACAAAGCCTAGGGCAACAAAGGAAACAAACAAAGGCTAGCCTGGCAGAACCTGGTTTGGAAGGAATTAAACAGGGAGTTAATTCTTCCTGAAGGCAACAAAGGAAAGAAACAAAGGCTGGCCCTCCTTAAGGCAACAAAGGAAAAACAAAGGTTTGCCATCCTTAAGGCAACAAAGGCAACAAACAAAGGCTAGCCTGGCAGAACTTGGTTTGGAAGGAATTAAGCAGGGAGTTAAGTCTTCCTTAAGGCAACAAAGGACAGTCACAAAGGCTAGGCCTGCCCTCCTTAAGGCAACAAAAGAAAGAAACAAAGACTAGCAAATGAAGGAAACAAAGGCTAGCCCTCCTTAAGGCAACAAAGGAAAGAAACAAGTCGACCCATACGAGTGATCACAGATTCCGTTTGAGCCCCCAGATGCAGTCCATCCAGATTGTTGGGGAGACGAGATTACAATTTCTTGTGCCATGGACCGGCATTTCGACGCAGTGCTTCCAGCGTGACCTACAAAAAAGACCCATGCAGTCCCGCGGCCTCGCTTTGGGAAGGACGACGCACACACACCCGCACTAGCGCAATTAACTCCTGGTTTAATTCTTTTCTAGCACGTCTTCAAGCCAGATTTCTGAAAAGACACCTTCCAAAAAGAATTAAAGCAGAAGTTAATTCCACACATCCCACTCCATATCATAACCATATCATACAGTTCACTCCCAATTTAACTTTTCTACGAAGGGATACCAGAAAATCAGTTACAAAAGAAAGTAATTCTTGATTTAATTCTTTTGAACTCCTGTTTTCACACCCTTCCTGTGCCATGACCCACAACCAGTTACAACCAGTTGAGAACTTTAAAACCTTCCTCAAAGACACAACAGCAACCCTGACTTTTTACAGGCTTGTTTGTGACCAAACATCCTGGGATCTCATTTGTGACGGCCACGAACTGAAGATTCTGGGTGCAACGCAGAGAATTGCAGGGAAATGGATTTCCACATGGACTACTTTGAAAAAGTGCATTGTTTTCCCAGAAATTTCTTTATTCAACACTCAGGATGTGATAATGCGTGAAAAATTGTAGAAGATTGAAGGCTAAAGAAGCACTGCGAACACACCTCGCAGTGGGCAGGATTCTTCGCAACACTGCACTGGGACCATTCGAGCGAGGGTGATTTGAATGCGGATTTGAGTTGCCAGGTTCGTGGGATTCCCAGGAATCAGTGGGGTTTCTTAAAGAACTCATTTTTGACCAATCGGACTTCCGTCGGACGAAGAGTCGGCTTTGGTCGATGACTTGCGTGTGGTTTTGTCCCGGCTTCGACAGCTCAGCCAAGTGTTTAAGGTTGAAGAGCGCGCTGGGCCGGTTGGCCCACAAGAGCCGCACCAACAAAAGGAGAGGTGGATGGAGTGAAGGGGTGCATGGAGTCCCTTTAGAATCCATGGGACTGGAAGATTTGGCCGATCAAGCCAGGGGTGATCTTAAGATGTCTTTACAGTATATGTAACGATAGATGTAATTCATTGTAACTCTGTTCCATACATCAATGGCCTTGGACTCATCAACATGGAAGTGGACCATTGCCTTTACAAAGGTTCTCCAGTTCCTCCCGGTCCGCCGGACCCGGAAGTACCTCGAGACAGACCCGAGGAAAACCGGGTCCAGCCACTGTCCGGGTCCGGCGTTTGAATCTGTATGGGCCCTCCATGGCAGGGGTCGGACCTTCTCCGTCTTCGGAGGAAAAAGGACCCGAACCAAATCCCTTCCCATTTGGGGAGGTCCGGATTCGTGGGGTTAAACAGATAGACTCAGCCGTGGCGCCCGATGTTCCTGCACCCAGGTGTCCAAAGTGGTGTCGAAGCTTCAAAAGCTATCAAAAACCCGAGAGACCTCACTTGATTGGCTGATCATACAAAAAATCATGAAAAAAGAACCTACCCAATGAGGCCAGAGACCAGGACTTACTGGGTCAAACTGGACCTGTACAGATTTCAAGAATTGAAGATGTCTTTAGGGTAAGTGTAGGTAAGTATTCCATACATGGATTGTTAGGGTATGCAGAAGCCACACAAGGCTTTCGTGTCTTCTTCGTCTGAGGAGGTTGTCACCTCGTGTGCACTTATTCGGCCACGTTCATGAAGGTCGTGGGAAATTGGAGAAGTCCCTTGAAGATGGGAGATGGGTGGGGTGTGGATGTGTGGATATGTGTGGAAGATCCAGTCCAACTGGAAGCTGGAAGATCCAGTCAAACACCCAGTCCCGACAGAAACAGTTCGTTCCAATATGGCTCCAGCTTGAGATCCTTTCAGATGCTGAGATTTTGTTCCTAGCAGTAAGGCCAGGAGCCCCTAGTAGCTTCTTGCTCCTAGTCGTGCCTTTCATCTTTGTCTAAACCTTGACAATCCATACCATACCCCAGACACTCCATGGATTGCTTACAATTATTTACCTATATATATTGGGGTGGTTTTCATAGTCAATGACGGTATATAATTTGTATTCCATACATGGACTGTTTGGGTATGTCTGGGTACATATACCTCATTTGACAAGCCCAACGTAGGCAACTAGTCCGATCACATGGATCGTCTAATAAACTTCGATTGTAAGACCTCCGTCACATGTGATTCTTTTTTACTCATCAGTCTACCTGGAGTCAGACCCGTTCGTACCGCGGAAAATGGGACATGGAGACCTGGACCTTCCACAATGACGCTCCTTGAGATCTCAGTGCCTGAGACCCACTGTCCCTGAAGAGGTCACTGAAACACTCCCAAAAGAGGTTACGTATGGTCCTGAGCGACTACCTGAGCTTCGCCCAAAGTCCGAGCTGCGAGTCCCGGTCCGGTACCCTCCACCGAACCGCCCGGTCGGACCGACCCGGGACCCAGGACCTTCGCTTAGACCGTAGACCGGACCTGACGCACTGCAGCCGAGCCGAGCGACGCGTCGGATGGGTCATACCGACATACCGACGTATGGGACCGTCTGTGAAGCACATGAACCGCTCGTAGCTGGTGTCTAAACGCCCGCAGAATTATACAAAAAAAAACAGAAAGGTAGAGAAACATCCATGGACTTAAATATACGGCTGTGACTCCAAAAGATTGTTTTCACACCGCATATTCTTAAAAACAAATACATGTAACACATTGAGGAAGCTCCAGGAAAGTGACCCGTTCATGTAAGTAACTATTTCAGTTCCAGGGATAGGACCAAAGTCAGGAGCCGGAGCCGGGTTTTGGGGCGCCTTGACGAATTCGACGGCGGGTCCAGGTACTAGACCTAAACGTTCCACGCATTCAAGTATGATTATACATTGTATGTGATTTGATGTTTTTTGGGGGATTGAATGTACCTGAAGTTCCAAAGGACCTCGAAAAAATGGTATAAGTACTTATTGTTGTAGTGTCATGTGCCATTTTCTAAGGTACTTGAAGTCGGGTCTAGGTAGGCCAACGTACGGAAACCGCCATGGGGCCTTTTGGGACATGTTTCAGTTTGGGTCATGAAAAACATGTCCCCCCAAGACCTTCCGTGACAAGGGAAGAGGGCGGTTACGTGGTTTGCAGAGCAGGGAGGAGGGCCCAAGGCTTTTTTGGTACCCAAGTGGGGTTGAGTTGTTGTGCGCCAAGTTAATTATTGATTATCGTAAACAATCGTAATGGTATACATGCATCTATGACTGTTGATTAATTGAGTGGACATCCACAAGTGAACAACCAATTGGTTGATATGGTACCTGGCATCGAGCCCTCAAGAACGGATATCATCGAGCCGACGGTGCCATCATGTGAAACACCACGGTGCCATCGGCTCTTCCACCAATGTCTGAGGTACGGTTTCGCAGGGAGAGATGGGTGACCGGGTGACCTTGGAGGGTCCAGTCGTACCTTTGTTTCGAAGGTGGCAGTTTCTTTTTTGTTGGGATGCAGGTAAAGAGAGGAAGCGTCCGTCTTTCGGGTCAACCTCCTACCCAGAAAAAGGGATTCCCAAGACTCTGCAGTGTTGAATCCACTCCCTTGAAAACCTCATAGAGGCGCAAAACCTGCAGAGAAAATCACCATGTCTTAGACTTATTGTCTTGGAACTCCACATCCAAAGCAATAGCACATACAGCATGTGAAACAACACCAGAAACGTACGTAAAACAGAATGCCCCAAGGATCCAAGTACCTTCTCAGAATGTGATTGGAGACGCTGTCATGTCCTTCTGAGAAGGTACGACTGGATCCCTAAATATATGTTGGTAAAACCACATACTATGTCACTTCTAGATGAGACTTCCGACACCTTCAGGAATGGCACCTTGTTCCTCAACGTGTCAAATGCGAGTCTTGGCCGAATGCAATTGCCAGCAAGCAGGACGCATACATGACTGTACGTAGGATCTTGATCATAACATTCCTACTAGCACCTTTGAAATGGGGTCTCCAATAGAATACCCTACAATACTTCTGAGGATTCTGGATCTCCATTGGATACCGCTTTGAAGATTGGGGTATGTAGAGCCTTACTGGTGAATTCCCTCCAATCAGCGCTATCAGGGTGGTTGGCAGTGTTTGCAGCCGGTATAGATGCGTGACATATTTTTTTAGATTTTTTTTCTATATATAGTGGTGTTTTTGTACCAGCACCTTCAAAGGGGTCACCTGGCTGGAAGCCCCAGCCCACCACTAAGGGACCTCCAGACAGGACACCCCTTGAAGGTGCTTTGGTACGTTGTCCATGTGTTTGATGTTCTGTGTGCCTTTTCTCTCGATCTGAATCCTTGTTTGCGGCGAAGGCAAGCAGCTACGGTGATACGGACAGGACGCTACACCCATACCTGGACCCGACTTCGTTCGTACCCTAGAAAACGGTTACCCTAAAAATACAGGTCGCGACTGTACCCATTTCCCAAGGTACGAACTGAGACTCCAGGTGGACACTTAGCTTGTACCCGAGAAAATGAGACATGGCCTGAACCCAAAAACAGGAAGACAGAAGTGCTGAGTCAAAGACCACTGTGAAGTGCAGGTTGAGGCCTAAGTCCCTACCTAGACTTAGACCATGACCCAATAAAGACAGGTACCTGGGGCCATTTTCCAAGGTACCAATGGAGGGTCCAGGTATGACCAAATACTTCCCCCCCCCCCAAAAAAAGGGGTCGTTCATTGCAGCCCGACAGCAAACCGGATGAAACCGAGGGTCCAGGTATGACCAATGGAGGAACTCTAAACCCTGAACGTGTCTGTCTCCTTTTCATAAGGATCTTGCATCAATATGAACAGGGTGCCTTCCGACCTGGTTTTCTTAAAAGCCCTGAGCAGCTCTGGTTTCACGGATCATTTGGGTACAAGAATTGGATCAAACAAGCGCCATTGAATCTTCCAAAGACGGAGCTTCCTTCCGTCTACTATAGGTATCCTTTAGCACCAGGACTTCCTAAACTGTGTCACCGTGAATCACGGTGACATTGACACTTGCTTCAAACACTGACGGACTTCCTGTGTTCACCGTTGCAACCTGAGGAACCCTGGCATGGCACGCACCCTCCAGCCACTCGGACCTCGTCATACCTCGTCTACTCGCCGCGCCGGTCTGCGCACGCCGGTGCGTCGCGGTTTCAGGCTGGTTTGGGCGTGAAATCTTTTACCTCGTATTCCAACCATCATTGGTTTATATAACAGTTTTTTCCAAACAACCACTGTTTTTTGGCTCTATGGCCTGTACACGACAAAAAAACAACAACCCCTTTGTTTAAAAAGTCGAAGGGAAGGCTCGGCTAGGGTTGTCAGTTCTCCAGTTCAATTCTCGCTCCGATGGGTGCTTTTGCAGCTGAGGCATCCCTGTGTCGTGCTGGATATAGCAACTGATGGATCTGGAGACGTGCGCGTGGTGAGCATGTGAAAAGACTCGATGGACGCAAGGGTGTTAACTGGTTCTTCCGGGAACGGGGATGTGTTTGTCTTGGAAATCCGGTGGTTGGGTCCGACTTGTGCATAAGAACCTGGAGTCGACCCGGAAACAAACCTCTTGAAATGGGCACAACTTAATAGACATGTGTTCTTTTGTGTGCACGTGTGTAGAGTCATGTCCCATTTTCTACGGTACGAACTGGAGAGTTTAGGTATAGGTTTAGGTAAATGTGTGTGTGTTCATTGTTTAGTTTGGGTGATCTGTCTTGCGACTTTTTTGGTGGGTTGTCTTCACATGAGGGAACACCCTGGCCCCCCCCAGCCCATATGGGGGTTTCCTTTCTTTGGTCCGCCTGCCGTGTCCTTGTCGATTGATTCCGTTCTCTTGCGACAGTGAAACACAAAACTAAACAGAACAGGTGGCTTCCTGAGGGTCCACGATATTCTTTTATCTTGAGGTTGAGCATTGAGAGGTTTGGAGGCCTTAACAAGGACTCCAGAAGTGCCGAGGACGCACATCCCTTCAGACTCCTTGTTTGGTTTGTGCTTCAGCTCTGTCACCCCTACTCACCCTGGAAGCCCAAAACATTCCAAGACTAGTTCAGAAACATGTTGTTTTGGTGACCCGAAAAAGGAGTTTCCGAACTTCACCAGTCGAAGATCCGAACTTCAAACACTCCGTGTTTGCGAGGAGGTGGGACGATGGTTTTGGCTGATGGTTTTGGATATTAGAGTAATTTACCTCATGTTTCTTCTTTTGCACCATAGTTGCATTTTATGACCCCCATGTAAGTTAGTACATAGTCAGGATTGAGTCTGCTTCCATGTTGACTCCGAAACCTGACCTGGGAGTGGCCAGACAACGACCACTATCAGGCCGTGGTGAAAATGATTCATGATTGGACTCTCAGAGAAGAACAGATGTTTTTTCCTGGTTCTGTTCCCGAACTTGATTTCCTGGGACCTCACGGACCTCACGGCTTTTGGAAGCCATGGAAGTTCGGGTTCCCGTGTCACGAACCCTCCAAAGTTCGGTCACGAACTGAAGAAGCCATGGGCATGGGCTTTTGAAACCGCTGGTTTCCGCCGGTTTCGGTGTCTCCCTTGAAAACGTGGAACACGTCTCGTAGGTGGTGGGCGTCTTACGTGGACTCCCGAGGGTGGAGAAGGGCGAGGATTCGAGGCGACGCTGGGAGACAGGGAGCAAGGTGTTGAGGGATGAAAGATGAAAGTGAATCAACCCAAACGCGAAGTCTGGACCCGTTTATAGTACCTGGAGTCTCAGTTCGTCTCTCGGAAAATGGGTAAATTCGTCATTTGTTGTTCGTACCTTGGAAGTTCGGGGCAGGTGTATATGAGAGACCAAGGTCTGTTTGCGTGGAAAACCAGCTGTACTTGCTGTACTTGTTGGGTCATGCTCCATGCTCCAGGCGATACTTCTCTCAGTCGAGTGAGAAACCGAAGATCGACCAAGCTCACTCACCCACTTTCACGCCGTTCTCCTCAGGTCTTCCTACTCAGGTTGTGCTTCTGGGAACACCATGGGACCCCGAACCACATAGCATCTGAGAGGGTGATGTGTTCGACACCTACCATCTGAGGTGCTGGGAGTAGAAGGTATGTGATATGCAGCAGGGATTGCTTCAGTTTGAATCCCAGCTGCCGTAAACGAAGGGACTAGAGAACCAGGTCAGTCTTTCCCAAACATATTTTATACATGGATGAACGGAAGGATACGGTGATGTGTATTGTTGTTTGTTTAAAGCCAGGTGACATGTGTTTGTTCAATGTTTCATTATCACTTCACCAGCAACAGTGGAGTGGCCGCATTTGGAAGTTTGGTTGTTGTTGTTGTTGTTGGTGGTGGTGGTGGTGGTGGTGGTGCGTGTTTCTGGAGTTACTGTACTACTATAGTAGGATTGTAAGGACCCTTTTTGGGGTCATAGTCCGTCGGTTGACTTTGGTTGGCCACGTCCTTGTGTCGTTGAACGCGTCTTCCGTTGTCCGTTTTGTTCCGCGAGTCAGACGTGGCTAAAGAGCCAGGCTGGATGAGGCCTTGCAAGCGTTCTTGGCCGACTTGACCGAAGAGGTCGACGTGGGGCACTCGGATGGAGCGACCTGGAGAAGAAGTGTAGACCTGGAGTCGACCGGAAACTCGTACCTCGAAAAATGGATAGAGAAGCTGTGTACCAGGACCCTCCAAGCGGTGTCTATTTATAGCTCCTTAGCTGTTGTGATTCGGGGTGTCCAGAAAAACCACCCCGACTGGATCCTGGTACATTTGTGATAGGGTCATGATGTCCCATTCTTTGAATTGGAGGGTCTAGGTCTTAGCCCCGAGCTTCAGGTGTTTGGCGTTTTTCAAACCCTTACAGTCCAGGTCCCAGGTACACCCAGATATCCGTACTTCCATGATGAGCTACGGGAGCTGTCCAGGACATTCGAGAAACGGGTCCTGGAACCCTCAGGGATCCTTAGGGCTGCATGTGTTATCGTAGTTTGGGCGAACAAGTAAGCTAGTGTTATAGTTGTTTCTTTCGAAACTATTTTTGTTTTACATCGCCCCTCCCTTTATGATGTGCATATGTTGTTTTTGCGACGCTTTGCGCTGTTGTTGCGTTGTTTAGTGCCGTTTCGCGAGAGGGGTGTGCTGCTTGAAGATTTCTTTTCAACTCGCCTTGTCCAAAAACTATGTTTGTTTAGAATCATCAGCAATATGACAAACTTTTGAGGACGCAGGTATACCCTCTTAAAGAAAGATGGTTGCGAAACGAACGAACAGTTTGGTCTTGAAAACTTGAAGAGAGGGGATCCCTCCAGATATTAATAAAGCTGACCACTTAAGCCATGCAAAGACATTTGCCAGACACTCCATGCATGGCATATTTAAATACATTGACCCCTCTTCAACCACCCAACCACCCCAGTTGATCGGTACATAGGCCAGTCAGTCCCATGGAGTGTCTGGGTATTATGATGATCATCAGCCATGTCAGTTTCTTGCGCAGCCATGGCCCGTTCCGCCTACCAACCCCGTCCCAGGCCGAGGCGCCGGCGCTCCTAAAGTCCGAGCTCGTGCAGGCGCCGAGCGCCTCGATTCCTCCGAGCCGGACGGAGGTTTTGGAACCGAAAAGAACCACGGACATCGTAACCCCAACGACGCAAGGATTGGACCCATCGGAGGGATAAGATAAGATGTTCATTTTCTAGAAGGGTCGAGGGATGCCTGGCCCACCATTGTTTTGATGGTCTGAATACCAAAGGAGCAATTACTTGATTCTAGACTACAAAACGCTCCATTTCCCAGGGTTTCAGGCCCCTTCAAAACCAACCCATGTATTGGTTTGGGTCCAGATTCTTAGGCTACGGCGCTCGGATTCGTGGCCCCACCATGATGGATTTCATGCTTTTGACATGGGTTTGCTTAACCGCTTAACCAAACTCAAGCCTTGTTTTCCTAATATAGCGCTATAAGAATGTTTTACGCGGTCAGTTCAACCAAGTTAACCATCCTCTTGGTTTCAAGTGGCCGGGTGAGTTTTTGCGCTTCGGAGGCGATGTCCTCCGCCGGGTGTCTTGCCTTTCTGCCAGGTTTGATGCTTTATCCAAGCCATTCGAGGATACTTCGAGGATCTTCAGTCTTTGAGAAGTCGACTTCAAGTCATATTATGATCATCGGGCGTTTTTGGCTTACGACCCTTTCAGTTTGTCCTCCAGGGCTGCAGCCGATGGCCACGAAGGATCGAGGATCCAGGATGATCCAGGTTTACCCATATCGTCGATGGTTGTGTTCAGTGAAGGCACTGATTACAGACTGGAGACTTGTGTTTTGTAATTGGCCACCCCAAGCAGCGTTAGCGTTGTGACACCAGCTGCGCCACGAACTCGTGGTCACCTGGCTGGACAAGCCACTACTTGGAAGCGGTCTGCAGCCAAGACACCAATGAAGCGCTATAGCTCAGGTATTGAATCTTTTCATCCGCGGGATCGTGCTGGAATGACTATATCGTCTATCGTATACAGGTCAGACTTGATCATACCAAAATTACACGATCAATGAGGTCTGAGGTCGACGCAGGATCTGTTCGGAGACCATTCGCTTGAAAACATGTGATTCACTAATTACCCACTCTGTCCCTCATGGTGCAAGACCCCCAGACCCCGAAGACCCAAGAGAAAACCGGGTCCGAACGTCTCCAATCTCAGCGTCGACGGGTAGATTCACAGGGTCGTTCGGCCAGAATTGACCGGGACACCCTCACCTGGGCCCACCCTGGACATGGTGTTGAGCTACAAGAAAACACACCCAACAGATCCAAGAGTTTTCTTTGTGCGCGGAAATGGGGCGTTTGTTTCAAGCCGATGTGGATGTTTCCCTGTCGGTGCTACTGGATGCCGACACATCCCGGCTCCACGGTAATCCAAAGAAAGGGGTGTCTTCCTTCTGGCGCCGTGTACGAATTGCCTCATGAAATTCGCGTGTTAAAGTGTATTGCGTGTTTCCTAAATTTAGGGATACCTGTGACTTCACTCCACTTGTCCATTGCTTGCCGCAGTTCAGATTGGACGACTGGTCGAATGAAGAGTTAACCCGCTGGACTGATGATTGCAAACTGGAGACTCGTGCTTTTGCATTTGGCCTGCCCAAGCGGCATGATGATACCAGCTGCGCCACCGTTCGGGGTCACCTGGCTGGCCAACCCTTCACTACTTGTTAGGTTTGCTGCTACCCATGGCAAGCGCAAGCCGCAAGGTGTTGAAATGTGTTGAATGCTGAATCCAATCAGCGGATTTTGTGGAGATGACTCATTAACTAAACCGATTATTTTTACCCTACAATCAGATCAAGTCAGAACATCTTTTTAGTGGAGTTGATCGTACAAAGATACTCTTCAATGATGTCTTCAGGACCAGGCTTGGATCAGGCTCGGCCTGTATGGACCATTCGCTGGACCAGAGGATTTGGGCCCGATCCCGCAGGCACATCGCTCG